TTACATCACTAGAATAAAGTCATTACATTACTAGAATAAAGTCATTACATCACTAGAATAAAGTCATTACATTACTAGAATAAAGGCATAACGTTACCCGACTAAAGTCTTTACATCACCAGAACAAAGTCATTACATCACTAGAGTAAAGTGTTAATATTGTGAGGAAAGAAATCATAACATTAACAGACTAATGTCATAATATAACTAGAAAAAAATACATAACTTAAATAAACTCACATTACTAAAATATTAAAATTTTAGGAAAAAGCTGGTAGCTTTATTAGAATAAAATCCTTCAATTACAAGATTGAAGTTGTAACATTATCAGAATGAAATCATCACAAGAAAAAAGTTGTGAACACCACGAAAATAAAATCATATTACTAGATTAAATTTGTAATATGGCTAGAATAAAGTTATGTTACAAGAATAATATCCTAATAATACAGGAATAAAAATTTAATTTGTAATATTAAAATATAAAGCCATGACATTATCGGCATAAAGTTATAACATAACCAAAAAAAAATTGTAACATTTAGAGAAGAAGAAGAACTTTTGTGCCTCATAAAATTACAACTTTGAATAATGTTGTTATGACATTATTCTCTTCATATCTTATTATCCGACAATTCTAACTCGATTCTCATAATTGAAAAATAAGTCATGCAAATTTATAAGAAATAAAACTCAAACAGTTAGGAATCGTCAAACATGATGAATATAGAATCACCACTTAGCAAAAATGTGTACCATCACAACATTCAGTCTTTATGGAAACATAAACTTGTTGTACATTCAGCTTCTACCTAATTGTCCCATTTTTATTCACATTGCGTTGAGGAAACAGTGGGGATCCATCTATGTTGAAGGAAAACATTATCGATCTGTCTATATTATATTCATCTACTAGTAAGATTATGTTTATAATGGTATTCATCTCTATACTTATTGAGTAGAAACCCATGTCCTGTATTTATGGAACCTTTATTTATCCTTCAGTTGCTGCTATTGCACTTCTGGTTACACCTAAACTGCATTTCGTTGCTTTGTACCTGTACCTGTGTAATGACAATAAAGTTGAATCTAATCTAATAAAGAAATATCAAAAATGATGAAAAAAATCTAACGATTAATTGATTTGGGGATGGAGGGTCTCAAATTGCTTGAGATAGAATGAGTGAAAATCTTACAGATTTGCTCCATTCAATTGATAAACTCAATAAGGGCTCAACGCAAGTGTGGCTAAAATGCTCAATATTGAAAAACATATATATTTTTTTATTTATTATTCAGGAAATAGAGAAAATTCCTACGTAGTGAGAAATAAACTTTGGAAATTCACAGTTTGAGGAATAAATAAGTAATTTCTTGCTTTCGACGAATAAAATATGACATCACTTTATGTTGGAGAAGGAAAAAACTGAATCATTGCTCAGTGTTGAGGGATGATTTGAAGTCCCAAAACATGAAGACAGAATAAATGACATTATCGGTGGGTGAGTGGCAAGAGAATGCACTGTCCATCTTTATCACATCATGCTCTGAAGATCAGTCCTCTTATCCGTCCATTTCGATGGTATAGTTCTTATTTCCTTTCTAAATCCAATTGAAACAGATAGAAATTACGTATCTTTTTAATCTATAATATTTCCTGATGTTACAAAATGAACAGGGACTCTAATGTTAACTGACAAAGTCTTACCATCTTGGCATTGTGTTAACATAACCGTGCTATATAGCCTCTTAAGTTCTGTAGAACCTCAAAGGATGTAGTTGTATGTAGATGTATCTACCCATAACCGTTGCCCTTTAACTTTATATCTAAAGGTCTTTGCGAATCTCCTTCCAATTTGACAACGTGTGAAATCCCAACCACCTTATACCTTCTGGCCTAGAAATACAGGCCAACTTTTGTGTACATATGGCACAACAGATGCTGTTGAGTAATTTGGGAAGGGTTAACATCTTTATATCTCTCTAGGTGCTGAAAACATGTGTTTGGCAGGAAAAAACAGTATTTTTTATTATTATTTCTGTTGTTTCCAAGGCTACAAATATGGTGTCTCTTTTGTTCATGAGTTTTTGTGTCCGGATCAATACCTCCACACATGGCAGCACTTTACTCACACTCCGCCCTGGCAGTAAGGGATTGCAGCTGGCCAGCGGGTCAATGGCTGGGGTCCCCGCTTGGCTGATGGCCGTTCGTTAAAGAGCGGTCAACACGGCGGAGCTAGGTGTTAACGGTGTCAGCCCCGATACTCCCAGCAGGCCGCACTCTCCTAATGAGCCCTTCAATCGATAGCCGTCTGCCCTCACTACCAGCCAATCAAATTGACATCTCTAGTTGACACATTGAGTGGATGAGGAAGTTTCAGCAGTTCTACAAGTCACTTACCATGCTGTTGTACATGTGCATTCACAGATATCATTGATTACTGTCCAACGAAGAAAATAGGAAGTGCTCCCTCTTTTAAATTCCATATTTTTAGGATGTGAGACCAATCATTTGTGTAACTCAGCAGTTTGTAGAACCATCAATACCAGAACATAATACCATCAGTCACAATCTATCTGATGTTTTTTATTAAAGGACCATTTAGCCATTTCTTCCTGATAAAGTTGGTTACAAACAAGCCAAAAAAAGTAATACTTCCCCAGTCCTTTTCAAATTGTCCTGTTAAACATTTTGACAATCATTGCTTTACCTTCAGATTTTGTAAAGGCTTCTTTAATTGCTGAGACGTTTCATAACATCATCTTGTTCTGATGCAACCGGTTGCTGAGGTCTTTCCTTACTTTTCATTTTGTTACACTCTCTCTAAATCCATAAGAATCAGCAAGGGTGAGGTAGTTAGCCATGTTGCACATATATTTTCCCAAGATTTTTGAACATTAATTCACAACAAAACCCTACGGTTCTTTGTTTATCTCTTGATATCTTGGCATTGGGTTACACAACCACCGGTTACCTCCTCAACTGCAGAAGTTGAGTCCCACGTCTTTTGTCCACAACTTTAAAACACAACAAGCTACTCGGGGAAGTCATTGCTGATGTACAGACATTGTTTAGAAATCATTGGACTCTTAAATACTTTACAAACTCTATAAATGTGGAAATTGGGCTGCTCAGTGGCCCTGAGCATGCATGTGTTCTCTCCGGGTACTCTGGCTTCCTCCCACGGTCCAAAAACATGACTGTTAGTTTAATTGGCTTCTCTAAATTCTCCTTAGGTGTGAGTGTGTCGGTTAGTAGTTGTTTGTCCTATTTGTCTCTGTGTTGCCCTGCTATGGGCTGGCAACCTGTAGACCTGTAGACAGCTGGAGATAGGCACCAGCACCCCTCACAACCCCGCCTGGGATAAAGCGTGTCAGAAATTTGATGGATAGATAATTGTGGAAATTGTATCTCTTAATAAATGAATCCCCAATTTTCTAGCATAGTAATTTATAGGGGTGTGCATTGGCACTGCCCTCACGATTCGATTTGATTACGATTCACCAGGTAATGATTCAATTCGATTCTACGATGCATTGCGAAGCATCAAAATCCCATTGACTTCGTAAAATCCGAAATGTGCCCAGATATCCGCTTTCCAAGCTTTGGTGCGTTTTTAATTAAGCCTACCCATCTATCGCGGTCATCTCCCTCCGCCTCAGCCGTCTTGATTGTTGTTGGTATGCCCCCGGAAGTAATTGAAACTTCACAACTTGTCCATTTGAGGCCAGAAAATAAATAGTGACATAATCGATTATGGCACGTTGCCGCATCGATGCTGAATCGTGCATGCCCCGCATTGCAATGTATCGCTGAATCGATTATTGTTGACACCCCTAGTAATTTACCTATAAAGTTAGGTCATTGCAGATGTTTTACTGTCTTGACACTCCTAAATCTTTACGAACAAAAGAACAATGAAAACTCTATTTCTTGATCTATTTTCTTCCAATTTTCTAACATAATTAAGTATCTAAAAAGCTACTTGCTAATGTCCTTCCAACTTAGCACTGTTCTCATGTAAACCTGTTATTTTCCCATTGCTGATATCTTTCCATTCTCGCAGTGTTTTAAAATCCTCCACCTTTAACTCTTAAATCCATTACAAACTGCAATGTTTTGGAAATTATAGCTCTTACTCTTTTCCTCCCCAATTTTCTATCAAAAGTTATTTACGCATGAATAATTGCTAATGTATTTCTAACTCAGCATTGTGATAACTCACACCTGCTATTTTCCCACCGCAAGAAAAAAATAAGTTGGTTAATTTAAATCTATTTCCCCAAAACTCTCACGTTTAATCGGTTGTCATTGCTAATGTCTTTCCAAACTGGAATTGTGTTAAGAGCGCCACACCACCTTCTGTGTGAAATACATAAAGTGTACTTAGTTATTTTTTTACACTTACTTTTTTTTTCCATTTCAGCCTAATCTTTTGATCTGTTTTTTTTTTAAAGAAACTAACTTCACTGTGCTACTGTGAAACATGTTTTTAAGTTTTTTACGCTGCTGTGACAAAACCAGCCAAATCTCTGCTGGTGAACTCCAGCTTTTTCTTCCCTCTTTTTCTCTTTCGGGTGAGATATTTTTATATCCATGTCTCCGTAGGGTTTCTTTTTTTTTTGTTCCTGCCGCTGTCTCGCTGCTCTTGTCAGCTTTCTGGCATTTGTATTTGCAAACACACGAAAAAAAAAAAGGTATTTACAGGAGTTTGACAGTAAGGAAAAGCAGAATTTATTATTTTATTTTATTTTTTGGTTTGGTTGGTGCTGGGATGAAAAGGCGCTGGTCACTGTTGAGACCCTTTCCGTCTGTCCGTCTGTTTGTGCGTCCTCAAAGGGATGCTTGTCCCAGCCACAAGGGTAAATCAGGACACAGAGAGGAAGGAGAAGAGACACGAACCCTCTTCTTACTAAGTAAGGCACTTCTGGGAGCACAAAACAGACACAGAGCTTGTCTTCTGCTTCCTTGTTTTTATTGCACACTTGCAAAAACACAAAACAGATTTTTCACGCTGAGGACAATGCAAAGAAACATCATGCTAACTGTCTTGTGAAAAATCAACATTTTGTAGATGATCTGTGGTTTAAGGGAGTTAAATCTGCTCCAGATTTACAGATTTGCTCTTTGCACTGAAGTGTGACTGCAACTAATATACCGAATTAAATATGGAGCTTGCCTTTGTCTCTTTGTTCGGTTCGGGTTCAGATCCTTTAAAGTCTGTGGAGAAAGAACAAAAGAACAAAAAAACATATGAATGCCAAATAAGCGACTAAAAAAACATGATTCGTGTCGTCACATTGGGAGCGTCGGAAACCTTAGAATCATTTATTTCCAGGTTACACACAGAGTGGTGTGCATGATGAATTTCCGGTTACGTAAACCGATAAAGACGCACCTCGGATCTGTTAGAATGAGATGTTTTGGAGCACGTTCAGTGGAAAATGTGTGACGATGTGACATCACACTGAGTGGAAATAAGCAGGAGTAGAGATATATTTAAGAGGAGGAAAAAAAAATCATACAGCTTCTATCCCTGAGCTCCGCTGACAAAATGTCTTTAAGTTGTGCGGATTATGGATTAATCTATAATAACTAGCGAAGGAAAAGAGAAAAAGAAGAGAAGCCCCTCCGACTCGACACCAGCACGAGAAAGCTCTGCCTCATCATCTAATGTTCCCGCTAATATTCCCAAATTATATCATTTAGACCTGTATCAGCGCCGGAGAATTAATCATCATTTCCCTGACACTGCCCGGCCCCCGGAGTTCATTAAATAAACTATTTCTGCCGCTCTAATTTCTATAAGTTGTAGCCGGTTCTCTTCGGCCCATCCGTTCGGCCTTGCTTCTTTATTTTTTCAGCTTGATAATCTGTTTATCCGTAAGTGTCACATTACATTTGCAAAGCAGCTGGGTGGAGGTAGGAGGGGGACCGGTGCCATCTTCTTGTGCAGAGGGGCTTCAGCGTGATTACCCAGCTTCTTATTTTGCTGCTGCCTCTGTCTCTCTCTCCTCCTCTCTCAGACTCCTCAAACCCTTTTGATCTGAACTGTCTTCATAATCACTTCAGAAAGTCTTCCCGCAAGCGTGAGGGCTTTGCAAATGGGGCCCCTCTCTCCCTGAGTGGATTCCGGTTAGGTTTCGTTTCTTTTTCTGGACAATGCCAGGAACACGACTAATGTCATCGTCCAATGATCTTTATGCAAAAAAACTGTGCATTTTGCTGTGACTCAAGAAACAGAAGGAAAATGCTCTCTAAATGGTGCACAAATAGAAACCTGCTAAATAATAATCACTGTTCCCGTGCTGAAGCACGATAGCGGCCGCATCATGCTGCGGTTGACCTTTTAATGTATTATTTACAGCATAAGTCACAGCGATGAATCGGAATATATCTGCTTTAGACTCTAACCACTTTTGGATCAAGTCTTAGTAGAGCCACAGCATGACACTGCCACTACCATACCATGAAGAAATTGCTTTAACAGCAACCTTCAGTGTTTACTTGACTGTTTCAGTGTTCCTATAATTTTTATTGGGTTGCATTTGTTCTATTTTCAGAGGATGGACAATGAAAGAGATTTTCAAAGATTACATTCAAATCAGCACTGCTTTGATCATCTCCAAAAGCAGCCATGATACTATATTATACAAATGGTGCAACCTATTCTCATTATCAGTGCATATGAAATCGTACGAAAAGTTATGCACTGTAATTTCGTACGTTTTGGACGTTTTTTTCGTCGTATGCGCATGCGCATTTGAAGCACCATTCACCAATATAGAATATAAATTACAATTAGCCCTAATCCTAACCCTAACCCTAAGATATAAAACAGCAAGCAATGTAGTTAGAGACATGAATAAGTGATGATTGCACTGTTTTTCCCAATTTTACGTCCGTTTTACGATCTTTGCTTTACGATCTGTTTTTTTTTTCTGTCTGCCAGCGCATGCGCACTGATGTGGTTTTTTTGAGGAAAAACGTCCAAAACGTACGAAATAGTGTGCATAACTTTTCGTACGATTTCATACGCACTGATAATGAGAATATGGTTAATGGTGACGTCTGAAGATCTGTGTTCGATTTTGTTTAGGGGTATCAATACTAACTTTTTCAGATTTTTCTATTGCTCATTGAGTAACTAAAATAACATAAATCTTATTTTAACTGACTTAAACCCTTTTTTTTTTATATATCACCAGAAGAATTTTCAAAACTTCTAACACTAGACTAACTTCTCACTAGACTAGTTGGAATTAAAGCATTAATTACTCATTACTCAATCACTTAGCATATGTGCTTAAATGTACACTCGTATCAACTGAGGTTCTCTATTTTTTTTTTATACTAACCAGATTGGTTACAATACACCATAATGCTAACATTAGCATATAGAGGTATATTAACACAAATAAAGGCTGATTTCACACAGTAAGTCTGTTGCCAACTCAGCCAATCGGTTGGTATATTTAGTGACTTTTCAGACGACTCTAGCAAGTTTTTCCCAAAAAAGTAACCAGTGCGAAATATAGGGACTTTTTTATGTGTTGTTGGAGACCTTGTTGACAACATTAACACTAATTGCTCTAATTTGACTGTCTTTAGCAAGCAATGAGGGCTGTGGTTAAAAATGAAAAGAGCAGCTCTCCTTACATTGGATGCAGAAGACAAGTATTTATTACGCTTTCAAACCATTGCACTAAATTAGATCCTTTGATTAATTATGTATTTTTTGTTTAGGTCAAATTTTACTGGATACTTGAAACTGTTTTATTGAGTTAATCTTTAGTTTTACTGATATTTATTGTTTCTAATCACTTTCTGTCTTGCTAATGTTGATATTCCTTTCTCCCAAGCGCTGGATCATCATTACGGAATATAGAAATAAGGCAATGACATCACCTAACGACTTTCAGGACAGCCAATGGTGACAATGGCAAGTAATTATAGAATCCATATATCCTAAGCAAGCCTTATTTGAAAAATCAATTGCTAATATTAATATTTGTGTATTAAAATGCACTTCCATTTTTCACTATGTGGGAAAACGATTTAATTACCTGGATTTCCCAAGGTAAGTCGAAATAAACCCACCTGTAAGCCTACATCACATCTAAAAAAGTTTGTATATCTAAAGCTGGCATTTGCACAGGGTAAGTGGAGAATTATGGCAGCTGGATTGCTGTCATTTTCAGTTTTTTACATTGGCTCCTTGTTAAACCTAAGATAATGTTTTAATGAATTTTTGAAGGCATACCACTACTTTTAATAACGCTGTTTGACATAAGCTATTTATCTTTTTTAATGAGTAACAAGTGTCTACTTTGGATCAAAATTATGTTTGAAAACTGCGTTCTACGTGGATTTCTTACCAATTTTATTGAGGACTAAATATTATTTTTTAGTCTTTCAAACTTGGAAACAATTCCAGTGAATTGTTGTTTGTTTTTTTACTTTTTTTTAGAACAGTTATTATTTAGGTGTGCCTGGCAGTATTCCTGTGAAATGATGTTTTTGGCTGTTTTAAGGACTCTTGTGTGCAACCCACTGACAACAAAAGGTGCAAACAGGTTAAGCCAAGCAAGGTGGCACGGCAGAACGTGACTTAATGAAGCGCAACAATAAAATTCTATCTGCTTAATGCGCATGGCCGCGGTTAACAACAACCAGCATTACTGCCTCTCTTGTCTCTACCTGTTCTGTTCAGATTTACTGGCTGTTACTGCCTCACAGATTTGCGGGTCGTCACAAGCATATTGTTAGGCACAGGTTATTTATGATGAAGGCTCACAGTAAAGCTGAAAGACTCGCCTGTGTGGGCCAGTTTGTATCTTGCAGTGGATCAAGAAAAAACAAAGTAAGACAGACAACCCTGGCCTTTTGGTATATTCTAACATCCTGACGCTGTGGGCCCCTTGGAGCACCCCTTCATCCGATATCCTCCCCACCTACCAGGTCTTACAATGGGGGTGTAAATGGATGGATGGATGGATGGATGGATGGATGGATGGATGGATGGATGGATGGATGGATGGATGGATTAGTATCAGTGGCTCGTGGGGAGGTGAGAAGGTGCACCTCTACCCCCTTCTCGCTCTGCCGCTTCGACAATAGCATTTGCATATTTTTATACTCTGTCTTTCCTCTTGCCTCTCTCTCTCTCTCAAAGAAAAACAGCCCGGAGCGTGAATACTCCAACAGCAGCAGCAGGCATGGAAAGGGGTAAAAAAAAAAACGGAAGCTAGGGAGACCAAGCGTCCGCTTTAGCTTGGGGAGGACACACACACACACACACACACATTTGGACTTATAAACACACAGGGCCCTTACCCCCAGAGGTTCTTCATCAAGGGGAATGAGGAGCAATGGGAACCAAAGTTAGTGAGGTCTCCTGAAAGAAAAAGAAAAAGAAAAAAAAGGTGCAAATTTCAATAACCCTCAAAAGTAAGAACTAAAGAATTACTACACATTTACAATTGACAAATGTGTAAAACATTTATGTAACATTTGTAATACAGTATGGTCTAATGACTGAAGATAACTCATTTTGGAGGAAACAAATTACAATAAGATATGATTTGAAATTCATTTGTTTTATATTCACCTTATACATTTTAATTCAAAATACTTTGCTTTGGATGTGTCCAACTCATTGACTAAATTTGGGTTTCTCTGACTAGTATATCCCTTAGCAAAAAGTAGTATACTTGAAGTAAATTCTATTAAGAATACTTAAGTATAAGTTTAGAAAGTATACCGAACATGTACTTTTAGTGTACTAAATTGGGACATTTTTAAGTTTACTAAAGTATACTTAAAGTATACTTAAAGTATACTTTAGTAAACAATAAAGTAAACAATAGTATAGTCAATTACACTTGACTATACTATTGTTAAGTATATGAAATATAGTTTAGAATAAGTAAACTCTAAGTGCAATGCCTGATTTTAAGTATGAAATTCGTGCCCTTTAAGTATACTTGAATAAACTACTTTTTGCTAAGGGATTGTAAGGAGGTACTTGGTCATCAATAGGGTTGAGGAAGTCATTTATTATCCAAGCTACTAAAAAACTTCAAAATAAAGGCTAAATCATCAAAAAAGCAATTTTAGACACCCTTAAAACTAGTATTTTATTTTTAGATGACTACATACCAGTTTACATAGAATTCCCTTTAAAAAGGTGTGCCTCATATCTAATAAAAATTCACCAAAGTTAAATTTGTTATGTAAACTAGGCCACAGTTTTATGTGCTGATTTTTATAGCTATATTGCTACAGCAAATTAAGAATATAATATTTATTAACCCAAGCATATACAACTGCTGCCTGATTTCAATCACTTTTACATAACTATCTAACTCATTAATAATAGAACCTACTTTTTTATCTCCTAACATGTTTATGATGTTTAAATAATGTAAAGCTAAACTAAAGACACCACAGATAAAAATAATCATATTAAGTATGCTAATTCTTTAACCCCAGAGTTGACATGCTAAACTTCCATTAGCATGCTAATTTCTGAAACTAGCTGAGCATGCTAGTTTAGCTTGGCTATATTATGCTAATTTTTTAATTTGGCAGGAAAATCCTTCAGCTACAGCATTAGTGTGCTACAAAATTTTAAATTTAACATGCAAGTTAACCATTAAGTTTTCACTTAAATAATACACCCATAGCAATGATGTGTTAATGTTTCAAACGTGACCTTTTTCTAATCATAGCATTGGTATTTTAATATATGAACCATAGCAGTAGTTTGCTAGTTTATCTTTATTTATTTAATAACAATATTAAGAGTTTATCCTGTCTGCTGTTCTCATACCATTTATTTTCAAATGTTTGACACTTATAAATCATTTCTTCTCATATCTTAATCTAATATGTGTATTATGTGTACATTGCTTAACTCTAAGCACCAATTTCAACAGCTAAAAATATGTTTTAGAATAAAAAAGACTATCTTCATCGTATAAAAACACACAACAAATAGGACGTTTAAGACAAATGGTCATGAACTGCATTTATCCATAAAACATAGCATCAGTTTTTCAGGTTTAACACAAGCTCCTGTTGCTGCAGTTTTGTCTCAGACTGAGAAATACTGAGTGAAAGAAAAGAGCAGCATTACATAACCGTATCATTTAGAGATGCTGACAAAGCATTGAGACGCATGTTAGTCATTGCTAGGAAGCAGGGGGATTTGTTTGTGGACTAATCCAGAAAAGTCTTAGACGAACATAAGCGTGCAAACCACGGCGGATGGAATTCCAAACCAGCCATAACTGCAGAGAATGCTTCGCTAAGCTTACACCTCCACCATGAAGGTTACACTCAGAGGATAACTAGATGCACACCAGAGCTGCTTGTAATTTCATTTTACATGACACCCTGCGTTATATAAAGTTCAGGCAGACAATGGAGGCGTCCCCGTGGAGGACCTGGATTTGGCTTTTGAGGCTTTAGTTTGAGGCGATATGAAAAGCAGCATGTGTGCCGCCAGATGTGGTGAAGAAAAGTAGCTTTTTTGTCCCAAACCGATGACGCTGGATGTGTTAAATCTGACACCGCTTTCTTAACGGTGGTGATAGGTATTCCTGAATGATGTGAAAAAGGTTCTATATCGGGATGGAAAACCTGCTGCAGGTCTCAAAAGTGCTTGTCCGAAGGGATTTTCAAGAATATTCAGTGCACATGTTCGCCAGCACCAACAGCTGACAAGCCAAAAGTCGAGCGAGATATTTGACTTGACAGTGCATGCTGAGGCAATTCTCCGGCAACAAAGTTCTATTGTACTCAAATTCAGAGCTTCATTGTTAAATTCCCCTCTAACTGCTGGTTTTTTCTAGAAGTTAAAGATCCCCTTGGAATAGAAAACACGCTGAAAAGAGGTTGACTTCCCAAACTACCTGAATAGTTTAGTACTTCGGCATGCAGTGCTAGCCAACGCCGTCTAGTGAGTGTCTGTTGGGTGTGAACTCATAGGGGTATAGCCTCCGAAAAGCCACTTTTGTGGTGCCACTCGTGCCAAATCTGGACAAAGACAGGCACAAGGAGACACTAAGAGGGGAACAAACCATAAAAGGGGGGAGTGGGGCTTGCAACATTACTGTGAAGCAGCAAAGAGAGGCTGTTCATAAAGGTGTGGACATACTGTCTAAAATCTGACTTTTAGCAGTTGTCTCATTTACAGTCTGTCTGGTTTCACTGATGGAGACTCTCAAACTCAGAAGCTAAGAGGTTGTGTGGAGATCATTTGTATTTTTGATAAAATTCTCTAAGCATTTCTTGGCAAGAATTTCTGTTAAGGATAGAAAAAAATCTTTTAAACATTAGGGAAATGCATGATCCTCTCCTGGCATCTGCTGATGAGAGTCTTTAAATAAGCCTTTAGAAATTCAGTAAAACTTGGGTTGTCCCTCCTCAAATCTGGATTCACGTTGATAAATCCCCATTACGCAGCAAGAAAGTATTCTGTGTTATTTTCAGTGACATCAGCCAAACATTAGCCACATTAAACTTTCCCTAAGACACAGATAAATGAAGCACTCATTTGTTTCTTTGATGGATTAAACAACAGTTTAAATCAATTTCAAAATATGTCAGTTTGTTCTTGAATTTAGCAACGTAAAAATATTCTCCACTCTCGTTCTTGTCATTATTTTTCATAAACCTAATTTTGTAAATGCTCTTATTTAACTAAATAATGTTGATTTTTTAAAAACCTAAACCTTTTATTAATCAACAATAGAGTGGGAATTGGCAAGAAGTTGGTGATATGACTAATGTCATGATGCAAGTTTAACGACACAATTCATACTGATATATCCTTATGCATTAACAAAGAGGATTTATTTTCCTAAACTGAACCATGTTGTTATTTTTAAGCCATGTTAGCCTGTTTAACATAGTATTCTCGGTATAGTTTCCTTGGGTTGATCTTTGCTACAAACTAATCATGCTAGCATAAACCCTATCAGTAATTTTTCTAGACCTAAAATAGATATCTTTTAGCCTGACAATTGTGTTTATTGTTTTCTCCATTAAAAAAAAAATATGTCATTTATATCTTTCCTAAGGCTAGCCAACCTTTTACATTTCCTAGAGTTAGCATGTCATCATTTTAGTGAACCAAATCATTGTTCTACAATAAATGTCATTATTATGTTTAAAGTAAATGTAGCCTTGTTATCTTCATAAATAGATTATCTATCATTTTGTTATAAACCAAATCATGTGTTCACTTTCCACAACCTTTCTATTGTCCTAACTTCTTATTACCTAAACTTAAAGGTCAAAGCTACAACTTTTTTGTTTAAAACCATAAATGTTTCAAAAATAGTTCACTCACAGAATGTCCAAATATCTGGTTACAATGCCAACAATAACAAAAAAAGTTTTGCACCAACAGGAGCAGTAGGTTCAAATCACATGACGTGGATATCAGCACTGCCAGAGCCTAGAAAGCCTGTGTAATTGTATATTCTCAGTGTTACATATGTCAGATTCAAGAAAAAAATTACGTAAAAAGAGGGTGAACATCTGTCTAAAAATTTTAAGCTTTGGTACTGACTTACTGTACAGAAGCAAAGGGGCTCAGAGAAGAAGCAGCGTTTGCGACTTTTCCTCTGGACAGGTTAGTTAACAACATTTAGCATTAACGGAACTAGTAATCAGCTGGAAAGCAGGACATTAAAGAGACCGGTCGAGTTTGCCACATACTGGCTAGGAGGACCTTAACTTGTAGCTATCACCTTTAACCATGTTGAATAATCCTAATCACAAAATCTGTGTTAACCCTAAAAAAGATGATTTTTTTTTTTCATATCTAACCACATTGAAGGATTTACTTAAACATTTGATGGATTCTTTCAGTATTTTATGAAATAATAAACCTGGGGGTTTGGAACATACCAGGAAGCATCAGATTTGTGTTGTAAAAAGATAAATCAATTGTTTTATATCAATCATGGCCAAGTTAAGTGTTTAGCTCCATGTTTTTAAGTCGCCACATTCTTTAGAGGTCTGTTAGATTAGGTATTATTGGCTATACCACGATTTCAAGAACTGAATACCGAAAAATCAGTGGTTACAAAATGGGAAAATAACACCTGCTGTATGAAAATTAGCCCCAGTTCTACGCTTATCTGTGAAAATGACTATAGGATACTGAACCTAAAGCTTTAAACAGCTTTTTATAGCTGCAACAGCCTAGCTTAATTTCTCCAACATGGCTGGCAGAGGGTGAATTACATCACCTAAATGAAAACCCTCTGTTTCAGATCATCCAGCTGTATGTTTCCAGTTTGCCCAGTCTGGGTGAGTGAGTGTGCTGGGGTTGTAAGCTAAGGGAGAGTAGGGAGAGGAGGGAGGGCCATCCAGAGGAAG